TTTAGGGCATTAGACTTCCTGTTTAATCTGAAGTACATAAGAAAACATGCACACAGTTCCACGCATGTTCAAAGATGGTGTTTTGGTCCTGCCCCTAATCCTTCTTATTGGTGGTTTTCAACATTAAATAATATGACAGGTGACTATAATAGATGATGTAAACACAGACATTCACTCAGAAAAGTAGTTAACCATGAGGTCTTCTCTCAACTCCTACTACTGCATTCTAAACCTGTTGTTGTACTGCTCTTCCTCTTCCTCTCTGTATTCATCCTCATGTCACCTGCAGGGACAGTTTCATCTCAATGAGCTGCACAAAACTGGAGACGTTGTTTTTGGTGGGGTATTTCAAGTTCATGTCTATTCTGACTATGCTGATTTGTCTTTCACTTCAGAGCCACTGCAGCCTCCCTGCCATGTGTAAGTCTGTCAGGGAAATCAAAAGTATAAGGAGTCTTTTGTCTTCTCTTTTCTTATGCTTATTTATTATTGTTAATTTCAAATGTGTTTTATTTTTCATTACATTTATTGTATGTTGTATTTATTAATGCATTTTGTTTTAGATTTGCTATTGAAGGATTCAAATTGGCTCAGACCATGGCCTTTGCTGTTGATGAGATTAACAGAAACCCTAACCTGCTCTCTAATGTTACTCTGGGATACAGTTTGTATGATAACTGCATCCAAGTGAAGTTGGCTTTACAAGCTGCACTGTCCTTGGCAAATGGTCAGGAGAAAAATGTAAAGTTAGAGAGAACCTGTGAAGGAACTCCTTCAGTCCTAGGAGTTGTAGGTGATTCTTCCTCTACACGCACTATTTCCATCTCCAGGGTCTTAGGTTTATACAGAGTACCACTGGTAAGTTTACTCTTTATGTGCATATACCAATTTACTGTGACTGATAACCTTTGCAATCTTAAAAAAAATAAGAAATAATTTCCCTGTCTTTATGATGCTCGGTATGACTTTTTTAAATGTCTCTTACAGGTGAGTTATTTTGCAACCTGTTCTTGTCTTAGTGACAGACAGATGTTTCCATCTTTTTTCAGGACAATTCCCAGTGATTCATTTCAGGTATAATTTAAACATTGAATTCAAAATGCACAAGAATATGCGAAGAAAAAATGTATGTCAAAAATTACCCTGTAAACTGACTCCTCTGTGTCCACATAGGTGCGTGCTATGATTCAGATTCTAAAACACTTTGGTTGGACTTGGGCAGGTCTGCTCATCAGTGGTGATGACTATGGGGTCCATGCAGCCCGATCCTTTCAGTCTGATCTAGGTCCAATTGCTGGAGGATGTCTGGCTTATACAGAGATTTTGCCATGGACAAATGATCGTACTGAACTGAAGAGAATAGTTAATGTGATGAGGAAATCAACAGCTCGTGTGGTCATTGTGTTTGCACATCAGGCTCATATGCTCAATCTCATGGAAGAGGTGAGTCCTGTGAGAAACTCGGGTTGTTTCTCCTTTCTGCCTTCTAAAAATGTTTATTGACGAAAGTTTTATATTTTGTGCAATGTCCAGGTGGAAAGGCAGAATGTAACAGGCCTGCAGTGGATGGCCAGTGAAGCTTGGACATCAGCTGTTGTGCTACATGTGCCTCACCTCATGCCATACCTGGGTGGAACTATAGGCATTGCCATCCGTCGAGGAGAAATCCCCGGTCTCAAGAATTTTCTGTTAAAAATACGCCCTGATCTAAAATATAATAACAGCAATGCAAAAAACAACGTGGTGAGAATATATTCATACACTTTTATAAATTGTAGCAGTAAATACTTCAAGCATAATCATTATTTTATATGTATACCCCAGGTGAATCAATTTTGGGAACACACATTCCAGTGCAGATTTTCACCAACTCCAGCAGGTTGGATAGAAGATGGAGGAGCATTATGCACTGGACAGGAGGTATTAGAGGATGAAGTAGCTGAGGAATTCTTGGATGTTTCAGACCTCAGACCAGAGTATAATGTGTATAAGGC